TCCCCGTTTCCAGATCGTGTTCATGACGGCTCTGTTTTACCTGCTGAGCTCCAGCGGCCAGCTGTACAAACCCGTGGAGCTGATAACCAAACTGGGTCCGGTCAGCCGGGGTAGCAGCAGGTGGGTGATAATCGACAGCCTCGGCAGGACTCGGCGGTCAGAGAAGGAGCTGTGGGACAGACTTCCAACCCTTCATCTACTGTGGTGGATTACTGTCTTGTGAAATCACTCTATGCCTGAGATAAGTCAAGTTGGCTCCGAATCTTACAAGAGCCGCAATATATCTACAATTTCAAGGTGATATGCTGTCTATCTCTATATCTAATTCTAAACACTCGTTCTCATATTGAATTACTCCCTACGTCCCGTGCGCCAGGTTCGTGATGGCCGTGGATGAGGCGGTCAGCAGTGTGTTCGTGGCCTCCTTCAAGATGGCCGTCTTCTACCTGCTCTGGACGTGGCTGGTGCACTCTGTGTTTGCCGTCAAATTTGTCTACCTGCCGTCAGGTGAAGAGGAGGGCCAGTCGGGGCTTGGTACTGTAGTTAGTCACGCAGTATGAATGTATCGGTAATGCATGCTCCCAAACGTTACCTTATATTGGACTGGGATGTAGCATCGTTACGCTTCAATTTAGTGCTCCTAGTGAGTCTCGCTACTCCTGCGAATGATAAACATCGTATTCCCAGCCGTTTCCGTTGTCTCTCGGACATGGCCAGTTGCCTACAATCGGCGTGATGGCAGATCGTGTGGCCCTGCCCGTGTTCTCCGCAGTGGTAGTGAGGTGTCTTAGTTCAGCCTATCCCATCATTCTGACCCCCCCCCCCCCTCCCCCTTCCTGGCAGTGGTGGCTGCCGTGCTGGGCGCGGTGCCGTTCCTGGGCAGCTACTGGGCCGCCCTGCCGGCCGTCCTCGAGCTCTGGCTGGTCCACTCACAGCCGCTAACAGCGCTGCTCTTCTTCGCCGCCCAGCTGGCGCCCATTCTGTTCGTCGATACCGCCATCTACAGCGAGGTCAAGGGGTAAGCCGCGCGTGGGGAAAGGGAGAGGAAAGAGATGTCTACAGAGAGGTCAAGGTTCAACGCATTTTTAACTCAGTCCTTTTTAGGGAGTTGCACATTTTTGTTGGCGATATTCCATGTGCTACATTGTATTTAAACAGTCTGACCCATGGACCATGAGTGACTATTACTCTGACAGAGACCAACCGTACCCGACCGCTCTAGTGACCCCTGACTCTTGCTCTGCCAGCGGTCACCCGTACCTGACTTGTCTGGCGCCGGGGCGATATTCTGACCTTTGACCTTGACTCTGCCAGCGGTCACCCGTACCTGACGGGTCTGGCGATCGCCGGCGGTATCTTCTGGCTGGGTATCGAGGGCGCCATCTTCGGCCCGGTGCTGCTCTGCTGCCTACTGGTGGCCGTCAACATGTACTCAAGCCTGGTCAACACGCCCGACCAGGAGAGCAAGCTGTTCGCCGGACGGCTCAAAAGGTCAGTCCCCGGCAGGGGGTTCCGGCCTGTCTGCATATCTGTGTGATTGGGGGGGGGGGAGGGGGGCGGGCACCCTCGTCAGTACCTCTTTCAGCGCAGCCGGTGATCCCTGCGCCCGAACCGAGGGTGGAATGTGAGGGCTTTAGTATTTATCCGTGCCATAAGCAGTGGTGGGATGTTCCGCCACCACTCCCTTTCGTGACCCGTCATTGTCACCAGCAGTCGCCACCGGTCATACACCAGCAGGGAGGGGGGGGGGGTCTGCAAAGGATCTTAGCTGCTCAGCCTGCAGGCATATTGTAATTATTGACTTGCATGCAACTGTGAAACAGATTCGTATGTTTTTGTGGTACGGGTCGCAAGCATTACCTAAGCTGACATGCGTCAATAATTCTTGTCATCATGTTTTGTTTTGCTCATAAAACCATAAGTTATCTTTTCCTGATGACAGATCACAGAAGTAATATCAGCTTTTGCTCTTGCCTTTTGTCACAGCCCGCTCTGCATGTCTGGGGCCCTATATTTGACTTTATAATTATTGGAACTATTCAGATGGCTGCAGCTGCATCCGGTCGTTTTTTACATTGCTCTTAGCCCTCGAGCATTAGGCAGTTAGTGCCGTCCGAAATTTCGCGGAGCTGGTTACGAATTACAGCCTCGCGGCAGAATACACCTGCTCCCATCCGTTAGTAGAATCGGTCTTGACTGTCACTTTGATGTTCCTCTGACGCGGGCGTCGCGTTTGTCTCCAAAGTGACTTTCCGTTCGGATACGAGCAGCATTGGTGAGCGACTCTAACGCTGAGCTTCGGTAGCATGGCATGAGGCACTGACCGGCACATTTGGTAACCTTTATTTAAGGATGGGCACCATTTGCTGATTGTGGCTGCTGCAGTGTGCCTGCTCGATCAGCTGACCAGTAAGTCGGACCGGCCTGCCCGTGCTGCTGTTTTGTACGCACACTGTATTCACGCTGATTTTCTGTTCATTCCGTTGCTGCTTATTGGTTGTAGGTAATGCAAAGCCTTGCTGTAATTAGCGATGCTTCAGCGCATGGTCTAGTCTGTCGATTTTAACAATGGCAAGATAGTGTACTCTATTCAATGAAAATTCAAACTAAAAACTCACAAGTATTTGGGTCCTGCACGCCGTGCCATTGCTTTTCATTTTTTTTTTTTTGTCTGTTCTCAGTTCTCTGCCACACTGATGCTGATGTCCGTTTCGCAGGACGAGTAACTGAATGTGACTACCTCCGGAGCGTCGAGTCCGAGCTGGAGGGTCCATCAGAGTCACTCTGAAGGTGGGGTGGCACCTCTGCGACTGTCCCCGGTCCGGGGTCACCACCCGTACCTAACCACGGCCAGGGTGGCTGTCTGTGCAGCGTAGTCGCTCCAGCCGCTGCTCCTGTGCTGCGGGACTCGGATCGTGGACGTTCATCGGTGACCTAAGTTTCCCGTCTCCGCCTTCGAGGGCTTAACCTTCTCCCAAGTTGTGGCTGTGCTCTACGCTTCGCGACTCTGCGCTTCGTTTCTGTGTGTCTGTGGCTCCAAATGGACTGCGATATTAGACAGTGGCAGGACACTGCGGTATGCACGCTGCACTTCACAGTCTGTTGTGATAGACACTGGGGTTGGTATTTTTAACTGCACGGAGTGGATGAATTGTAAGCGTCCTTGTCTTGTTTATGTTAAGCGTGTTTTAGTTATCGCACTTAGAACCCTAGTGTTCACGTGATGTGCATCAAACTTACAGGTCACCTTGCATAATGTTTTCTGTTGGAAAGGAAAAAGACATTTGGATAGATCCTGAAATACGTTCTTTGTTATGCAGACTAGCCGATAAGTTTGTCCGTGTTTTCATTGTCACAATTATCCAATGCCCCTGGAAGCGGTGTAGTAGGGATGCTGCCAGATGCTTCAAATCGTTTTCTTCGGTTGGTACTTTGCAGCACTTGATTTAGTACAATTATCATTATTCAGTATCTTTCAGCACAAAATATGACCGAGGGTTCGCGTGCAATGTATTTGTCGCGGCGCATACTTCGAAGCCTACTAAGTGACTCGACGTTTGCGTCAAACAGTTGTTGTTTTGCTTCGCTCGCACACTTTGCAATGGTAGCAGATGCATGGAAACTAGTTTTCATGCGAACTAGCAAGTATGATTTATGCTTCGTTATAATCGTTGGTTTTTGCTTAGCCCAGCTAGCGCTGCTACGTTGACTTATTTAACATGTGCACTGTGAACTATGTATGTTGTAAGCGAATCTTCCTGCTAATGTTAGCGCGTATGACTTGGTCATTGTCCGCTCTAATGTGCCCTCGCCCGGCCGCCTCTACCGGCCCCCGTACCGCTGTCTGTTTACCACTCGGCCGGTCGCCCGTGTGCCGTCCCCGCCGGTACGGACGCTGCAGGCCGCCCCGTGCCGCGCCGACACCGGCTATATTTGGTCACAGGCGGCGACTGAGACACGCCACCGGCTCAGCACACCCACAGCCGGCCAACCCTTCCTCCCTTCCCTGGTATACGCCCGTGGGCTGCGGAGGCCGTTTAGGGCGTTTTCGAGGTAACCTGAGTGTGCACTTCAGTCATGTGATCGCGGGTGAAAATTAAATCGTCGCTGGTAGTTTTAAGTGCACTGTGTGGGTAAATGAGGAGTGTGCCTTGCCGCCTAGTCTTGTTAAATAGTGAGGGTGTTGATCTGTTTATGATGAAGTAATGGAGTTGTGTTGAAATCAAATGAACGCTGCTAGGTGAATCTATCCCAGTGACAATTTTCTGCTAACTTCACCCACTGTCTAGGCTGACCGTGACCTGACTGCCATTTCGCCAACCTGGCATGACTCAGCGCCTCCCCCTCCGATCTTGTGATACCGGGCGTCGGACGTCCTCTGCGCCTTTGAGGCCACACCGGTCACACCGGCGCGGCAGCTGTGGGGTGGCCGGTGTACCCGGACCTGTTCGCTCCATACGGCGTGGGCGCCCTCAACCCGTGCCGCCTGCGCCAGGGTCGGGCCGCCTTCGTCACACCTACTGCGCGCCGGGCAGGCAGCGTCGGCCCGACTATGGATTGTTATCGCGTCTCAGTGACTACTGAATACAAAGGACAATTCACTGAATGCCGACTTTTGTGTGGGCGAGAGCGAGCCGGCAGGGCAAGGATTCTAAATGTGGACAGGCCGGCCTTTTGCCTTTCTACAAGGAAGACAGGCTTTTAGTACAGTAAAGATAATAATACTGATTCTAACTTAACACAAAGAGACGTAGCCCATTATTCGCCGTATCTACTTAAAATGTCTACTTCTCAGAGGCTCCCCACATCATAATGTTTTCCCTCATCAGTCACGTATCGCGCTCTTCCCTGCATGCATGATGCTGTGGTCGCTCGGGTGTATTTTACTTTGGTTCGGAGTCTTCGTTTTGTGATCAACTAGCCCAAGCGTCCTTTGTACTATTTTATCCGCGTCGCTTGCTGTCCATTCGTTCGAACGCTCAGCTCCAACACACAGCACATAAATGCAGATTCAATGTATTTGAGTTCGTTCCGGAAGACTATCTAGACTAACAAAAGACGGACGGCGGCTGGTTACGAGCCGCTGTCCGGTTCACGAAAGTCACGACAAAGCTCGCTGCTCGTCAGCACGCTTAGTACTCATCTCCCTCGTCACCCTCGGCCTCGGCCGAGTCGATGCCGACCTCCTCGTAGTCCTTCTCCAGCGCGGCCAGATCCTCGCGCGCCTCGGAGAACTCGCCCTCCTCCATGCCCTCGCCGACGTACCAGTGCACGAAGGCGCGCTTGGCGTACATCAGGTCGAACTTGTGGTCCAGGCGGGCCCAGGCCTCGGCGATGGCGGTGGTGTTGGACAGCATGCAGACGGCGCGGGAGACCTTGGCCAGGTCGCCGCCGGGCACCACGGTCGGCGGCTGGTAGTTTATGCCCACCTTGAAGCCGGTCGGACACCAGTCGACGAACTGGATGCTGCGCTTGGTCTTGATGGCCGCGATGGCGGCATTGACGTCCTTGGGGACGACATCACCGCGGTACAGCATGCAGCAGGCCATGTACTTGCCGTGGCGCGGGTCGCACTTGACCATCTGGTTGGCCGGCTCGAAGCAGGCGTTGGTGATCTCGGAGACCGAGAGCTGCTCGTGGTAGGCCTTCTCCGCCGAAATGACCGGAGCGTAGGTGACCAGCGGGAAGTGGATACGCGGGTACGGCACCAGGTTGGTCTGGAACTCGGTCAGGTCCACGTTCAGGGCGCCGTCGAAGCGCAGCGAGGCCGTAATGGAGGAGACGATCTGGCCGATCAGACGGTTCAGGTTGGCGTAGGACGGACGCTCGATGTCCAGGTTGCGGCGGCAGATGTCGTAGATGGCCTCGTTGTCGACCATGAAGGCGCAGTCCGAGTGCTCCAGGGTGGTGTGGGTGGTCAGGATGGAGTTGTACGGCTCCACCACGGCCGTGGCCACCTGCGGCGCCGGGTAGATGGCGAACTCCAGCTTCGACTTCTTGCCGTAGTCGACGCTGAGACGCTCCATCAGCAGCGAGGTGAAGCCGGAGCCGGTGCCGCCGCCGAACGAGTGGAAGATCAGGAAGCCCTGCAGGCCGGTGCACTGGTCGGCCAGCTTCCTGATGCGGTCCAGCACCAGGTCGACCACCTCCTTGCCGATGGTGTAGTGGCCGCGGGCGTAGTTGTTGGCGGCATCCTCCTTGCCGGAGATGAGCTGCTCCGGGTGGAAGAGCTGGCGGTAGGCGCCCGTGCGCACCTCGTCCACCACAGACGGCTCCAGGTCGACGAACACGGCGCGCGGCACGTGCTTGCCGGCACCGGTCTCCGAGAAAAAGGTGGAGAAGGAGTCGTCGCTGGCGCCCATGGACTTGTCCGAGGGGATGGTGCCATCCGGCTGGATGCCGTGCTCCAGGCAGTAGAGCTCCCAGCAGGCGTTGCCCATCTGGACACCGGCCTGACCCACATGGATGGAGATGCACTCACGCTGAAATGAGAGAAGACGGTCAGTTGAATGTACGGCCTCGTTGCGGCTAGTGCTGGAATACATGGCAATAATGTAATATTATTTTCCGCTAAGTGGATTTAATTGAAAAATTGCAATTTCAGGATCCCGAAGCTTTGATCTCATCTTGATCATGAAATCATATGAATAAGAAACGCATTTTTTCCAAAATCCCGCAGGCCTTCATCACCCACATCAGCGTGCATATATTGTTATTGCAGATTGAACAACCATCCATTCATAGAAAAGCTGACGCGGCCTGGCCTTTGTTGGTCTATCCAGACGGCCCTCCCCGCCCCCCCCCCCCCCGCAGCTGATCTCATTCCTAACGATCCCGTTCAGTTGCCGAGCGGCAGCAGCGCCCCTGGCGGTCACCAGGGGAGACCACGTGCCCAGCAGCCGCCGCTCTCCCCTCCCCTCCATCCCTCCCCTCTGTGAGCTCCGGCATCCGGGTCGGAGGTTCGCCCCGGCCCAGGCAGGTGGCGCGCTCTACATCCGCTGCGGCGGCCCAGAGCACGAGGGCCCGCTAGCGGCCATCTTGGACCGCAGGGTACCTACAGCGGGGCCGGTGTGGGGCTACTCTTGCTAACAGTTATAATCATACTGGCCCAAATATATTTCGATTTAGTCATACAGCCTCGCTATTAGAAATACCCACGTACAAAACGAGTAAATGGGTCAATCACCATGGTTTGGGATCGACGTGCCAGTGCTGAATGAAGGGAGCCCGACCGCCCGGCTTTAGACTTGATACGAAAGAGGACTATCAAGACAGAAAAAGAACAAAACACTTTATCCCACTTCCAGTACTTAAGATATTCACTGAACGCGCAGCCTCAAATGTTCCGAACACCGGATTGAAGGAAGGCATTCAAACTCAGTCTGAATCCACCGGTCTGATTGAGTTCGATCGAACCGTTGGCTTGATTGAACTCAATCAAGCCAACGGTTTCAGTAATATCAAAAATCACTTTCTAGCCTATTGCAGTCGGTCAATTTATCAAAAAGCAATTGAAAATCGGACTTACCATGATGAATATCTGAGATCCGTTGGCTGTCAAAGAAAGGTAGACCCAGGCCGTGTGACGAAGCCTTCCGATCTACGCTTCCGCGAGACAGCAGTTCGAAAATGACCCGTTGGGCGCGGCCCGCTGCTACTTGTAGCCTCGCATGTCCCTCGGTCCCTGATTGGTCCAGCCGCCGCCGACGGGGCCGCGTCACGCGCGCGCGCGCGGGCGGCGGTGCCCCTCCCCTCCCCTTCCCCTCCGACTGACGCGCGGGGCAGCCGGCAGGGGAGGTCAGCCGGGGGTTCGGCCACATGCTGGATGAACCATTAGAATAAGAGGTTTGGGACTCAACATTTCACATACAATCATAGATTATGTGAAGGTTCATTAGCATCGGCATGAAATGGTTAGGAATGGCCGGAATGTCCCAGGCATACCAAACAGAAAACGGGGGTTCGGGCAACGGGCGGGTCATCACCGCTTCCTACCAGCTCCAACACCGTATAAGGCCAGTATCTATGACCGTGATAAGGCCTGAGGCTTCCAGTTGTATTGTATTGTATTGTATTGTATTTATACTGGAAACTCTCCACAAGTGGCTATTACGAGCCCAGTTAACATGGCGATGCATTGACAGCACAACATACGTTTGCAAACACACATACATGTAATGAAAGTAACACAGTTGAAAACAAGCAGATAAGGAGGGTATTTGTCACTGTTCCAGCCTGGTCATGAGCTGGCGACGTGACGTGGAAAGTGTAGTCACACGCGAAAGTTTATTCCATGACACGGCGGCTCGGTAAGGAAAAAGTCGCCGCGCGGTCGTCAGCTGGAGGCGAGGGGGCGCGAGTACCGCAGCGCCGGCGGCGGTGGCTCGCGTTCGACGCGAACACACTGTTTGGCGAGGGCGCGCCATGGCTTTGAGCGGCTGGGGGGCTGCGGGGTCATGTAAGGCGCGGTAGATGTTTATCGCGTCGCGACGCATCACTAGCGTGTCGATATCGGGCCACCCAAGCGTCGCGAGGGCGGGGGATATATGGTCGCCTCGGCGTAAACCAGATACCAGTCGGGCGGCAAAATTTATGACCTTCTGCAGTCGGTTCAGGCGGGTGCGTGTCGCCCCACCCCATACTGACAAGCAATACTGAAGGTGAGGGAGGACGTGGGTCTGTACAAGAATTTTGAGGATGTCATTTGAGAGGTGAGATCGGATTTTGAAAAGAGATATGATTATTGCGTTGGTACGCCGGGCGACTGAGGATATGTGGCGCTCCCAGGTGAGGGTCTGATCGAATTCAACGCCCAGGATTTTTAGATGTTTTTGTGGCCGGATTTCTTCGTTATTTATCCGAATCGTGAAGGATGATGCTTTTTCAACTGCATTTACTGTGCCAATGATAATGAAAGAAGTTTTGCTTGCGTTCATTTTCAGACTGTTTCTACTAAACCATTGCTGAAGACATTCAACGTTATTTTCGGCTCGATACCTCAGCGCTTGGAGTTCGTCAGGATTGTTTGGTGCTGAGTCTAGGATTTGGGTATCATCTGCGTAGGATACTAGTCTACCATGGGGCAGGAGAGATGGTAGGTCGTTGATAAAGATGAGGAAGAGGATGGGACCGATTATAGAGCCTTGGGGGACTCCATGTGAGAGAGGAAGAGCCGCTGAGGATCCTCCACGGACAAGTTGGGAGCGACCGGACAGGTAGCTGCTGAACCAGCTGGATGATACACCGTACCACTCTAACTTGTCCAGCAGTATCGGGTGGTCGACGCTGTCGAAGGCCTTGCTCAAGTCGATCGATGTTAGTGACACAAGGTGACCGACATCAATCTTTTCAGCTGTCCATCCGACAATGTCGAGGAGGGCATCTTCCGTAGAGTGTGATGGGCGATAAGCGTATTGGGAGGGTGAGAGGATGTGGTTTGTGATAAGGTAGGAACTGAGTTGGGAGCATACCACTTTTTCAAGGATCTTTGATAAGGCTGGAAGAATTGATATTGGGCGGTAGTTGCTAGGGTCGTTGAGATCTCCTGATTTGTGGATGGGAGTGACGACGGCGACCTTCCAGTTATAACCGGATTGAGCCCCTCTCGCGCGCCCTTCCAGGGTATGTTGAGTGAAGGGTAGGACGAACTTTGGTAGGAATTTCTAGTATAACTACTAGAAAACCTACTATATGTGGTCAGAGGGGTGTTCACGGGCACCGCACACTGCTGCGTGCGGTGTGTGCGGTGCGTCCAGCAGGCGTGGGGGTAGGGGATGGGTAGGCGGTTCTGACGTCACGGCTGCGTGCGGTGGACGGTCCGCTGTGGCCAGTCCCGACCGGCCACAGCGATCGCTGCGTGCGGTGACGGAAGGCTGACGTAGGGACGCAGTGGGCGGAGCTTCGAGGCTGTGTGCGGTCCGACCGCACACAGGGCCCGTGAACAGCCCTCGGGACTAGCAAAAAGTTAGTTGAAACTAGAATATGGTAGCGCTTATGGTTGGCAGTCATGACGCGCATGTCACATTCATTTCTTAAATTTCTTAATTAACAGGTTTTAGGGGCCGATTAGTGGGCAGATACATTCAATTAGCTATTAATAATTGATAATGCAAACAAACATTCAAGAATCTACATCATTCAATTCTAGCCAAAATCACGCGGCGCTCCCAGGATTCAAACTCACGACCCTCGGATCCGTAGCCCGATATGCTACCGACTGCGCTACCGAGGATCGCGCGTCGACGATCGGAGAGGCGGATCGCGGGTGCTGGCGTGCAGAGAAATCTTTACCCTCTACGCCGTAGAAGATCGGCTGGGTTTCGTGAAAAATGGTAGAGGAATTGTCGAAAGAAAATTCATCGATCTATCATTTGAGACTAAGAACCATTGATTCCTTCAAAGGTTGACCGAGATATCGCTCGCCGAAAACAGGCCATTTAACATGTAAACCCTATGGGCTGGTAGGAAATGTACGCCGTGGAGCAGCAGTGCTACCAACTAACTTCGGCGGGGGCCGCGCCCTTCAGTCTCAGATTGGAAAGGAATAGTGGTAGTTTGGTACCCTTTCGACATTCAGTGTTAGGTAGGTACTATAAATACGGCTTTGTTGGAAAGCATGCAGTGAGCGCCTGAATACGGACAATGGAAAGCGATGATTTCTGTTTTATTCAAAGAAACTTTTTGGAAAGAATACACCCTCACCCGACGCCCCGAAGCGGACAGCGATGCTTGCTTTCTGGCCTTTCTGGAATCGCCTATCCCGACCCAAGAGCGTCCAGCTATTTCTTCTTTCTGGAATTGTCAATTTTCCAATAGCGGTTCCATTTCCAGCACCATATGCTATTGAAAAATGGCGACATTATTGAATGGCCCCATGTAAAACGGCACCTATGGATTATTATGCCTCGCCCGTGGTAGGGTAGTGTGGGGTAATTTGAACATATTTTTACATCTTCTCCGCTGTACCAAATTCCAGCTTAACCCTGGATGAAGAAAAACTGCTTCAGTAGCGCAAGTGTCACTTGCTTTCACCATGCAAGCCTCATTTTTGGACGAGCCGAGCATGCCTTGAAAAGCATAGCCTCACTTCTCCACCAAGTCACGGTGTGTTCAAATGGCCCGGCCCCACCGTGGGGTAATTTGAACATACTGCCTTTACCTGTCATAAAAACGATAGTCTCGCCAACGCCGATGTTGTTTGACCCATAGACAAATAGGCAGAACAATTCTAAACATACCTTCACTTGAAAAATCAACACAACAACAAAAATAACAGTTGCAGAGTATCAATATCTGCACGCTGCACACCGGTCAGTTGACAGAATTCGCCTGTCTTCAATTAATAGAACGTCTATCATTTTTGTTCGATAAAAACTCTCCCATCCTTACTGCATCTGTTATAGTGGTGCCAATCGAAACCTGGACATTTGGAATTCTGATTTTGTCCAATGTCCAATTCGGAATTGGTAGGACAAAGGTAGCAGACTGGACAACATTGGACGATGGCTTGCTACACTTCAGCGCTTTTTATAAAGTAATCGTGCATAGCATTGATTGGCGAATGGAAAGCTTGTTAAGCTCTCAAGTCTCAATAATGAACACTTTTCGGCTGGTAAAAGTACATTATAAGCGATTTAAATGACAGTTTTGACTTTTGAGTGTTTATTAATGCGTAATTTTCAGACATATTTGGACAAATGGCTGACTTTAACATTTTTGAACGGAAATCAACAAAAATGCCGGACATTAGACGGATATTAGACGTGAATTTTATAAAACTGGCATCACTCATCTGCTACTGCTTTGGGTCGAAAATATTGGCAAAAAAAAAAAAACTGGGAGCGTTGTTTTTTCGGAGCTATCCCTGTCTTCATTGAAATTCCCACACTATGTTCAAATTACCCCACGCTAAAAGTTATTTTCCCATATTTTGAAAACAGGTTTCAAAAACAAATTTCTTTGATTGAAGGCACTGATTAGGTCATTGTACAACAAAAGCCGTTGCGTATTAGGCGCTAGCAATGCAAGATTTTGCGCTGCAATGAAGTTGCAATGACGTGTTTTTAGGCGTTTTTACTTGCGAAAAGGATTTTTTACAGTGTGCGTCAGCATCTTCATTCCAATGAAGTTTAAACCCCGTTCATATGATAGCCCTTTTAGTTACGACTAGGGTGACCCGCGTGCTCCGCAATGCGAGGAAGGGTAATTTTTGGCCCGTGGGTGTTGGGTTGGGCCTGTGTCGATTTGATGGGTACCCATTTCGTTCGATCGCTTTTTGACGGTCAAGCATTTTGTCATGAAACAAAAAAGATACATCGCATCGAGGTGCCCGTGTCGTATTATCATGCGTTCTACTTAAGAATGATTCGAAAAGTGGCGTGAAGTCTTTTCAGGGCCATCGATGAATTTCGCTAAAAATGGCAATGTAATGGTTTGGAACATTTACATTTTTAAGAATACTGTTGCTCATCATGCAAAAATGAAGACTGAACCTTGGACAGAATTGAGTGCTCTTTCCAACGGTGCCATTTTTAATTGCCAGAGATATCAGATCATGGAGCAAAACCATTTTGATAAAAGAAGTGGTACAAAATTGACAAACACCATTTTCTCCCGTGATTTGTACCACCTTGGCGTCGATCAATTAGCTATTCACAATTTTCCCATGAGAGGCGGTACATTTCTCTTGCCAACAGGCGTTGTTTCAACTCGCTCTGTTTAACGGTCACCTAAAAATAAAATCAATTCCAAAATCCGTCAAAAACCACATT